CGGCATGCTCTACCTGCACGAGGAGGCCGTCGTGCCCATCCTGCACCGGGACCTCAAGTCCAGCAACAGTAAGTGGCCTGGCGGGCGGCCCCAGCGCGCCCAGGAGGCGGGAGGACGCTGCCTGCCCGCGCTCCCTGCCTGGGCGGTGTGGCAGCCCACTCCAGACCCCCTCCCCCCCAGGGTGGACCCCTGCGGTAGGGTGCTGATAGCCAGAGATGGGGGGCGGGGATCAAGTCTCAGGGCTCCCAGAGCAGCCTTCTTCCGGGGCACTCAAGTGTGCACTTGGACCTTGGTGACTTGCTTGCAGGCAGATCACGCGCCTAGATAACAGGCCTACGTGTTGCCCTGGAGTGCTTGTTTTAAACTGTTGACCAGATTGGGTTGCTGGTGAAGCAGTTGAAAATCGATTTTGGGGGGAGCCTCAGCTGGGCCTGTAGGCATAATAAGAGCTTTATTTAGGGGGTACTTTGCAGACTGAGGGACCCAGGATCCTCCCCTCCTGTAGTTTTCCAAGTGCCGTGTTGAGATTTCTGTTCTATTGTGGCTTTGCGTTCACGGACCTTTCCAAAGATTTTTCAACCAGGCATGTCTGACTATGTGTGAATTTATTAATGGTTTGATGGCTTGAGTGTGGGTTGAGCAGTCTTTAGTCAGGAAACACCGGTTGGTGTGAGACACATTTAAATTGATGGAGAACAGGTATATTGTCCATTCACAGGCATTTGAAAGTCTCCAGACCTTGACTGTATCCTTTAGTGTGTTTCCAAATGAGAGTGGATTTTCCAGACTTCCATATGACATAAATACAAATCCTATTAAATTTCACTGTACAAAACAACTAATAGAGTCGTTGTTTGAAGTTAGCTCTTTAATATTGAGCCTCACTGCATATGATACTTTTAGAGTAAAATGAAATCCCATGACAGATTAAAGGATGCAGCCACAACTGGCATTGGCCTTCTGCATGGCTTTCAACCTTGTAAAACCTGCTAGAACAGGTGCTAATGCAAACTGAAACAGTGTCCTTTCCCAAGTCAGCTAGAGCAAGAGTGACAATAACAAGCGATGTATTTGTTTTATGTCTCTGTAGGATTTTGTCTTTTCAAAATCCTTCAGTACTAAGCTTTAAAAAAAAATCATTTTATGGGGGCTCTTACAGCTCTTATAACAATTCATATATCCATTGTGTCAAGCAGTTGTACATATGTTGCTATCATCCTATTCAAAACGTTTTCTTTCTACTTGAGCCCATGGTATCAGCTTCTTATATTTTCCCCTCCCCCCCCTACCCTCCTACCATTATGAGCCCTTGATAAATTATAAATTATTATTATTTTCATATCATACCTTGTCTCCCTTCATCTCCCTTCACCCCTGTTTCTGTTGTTCGGCCCCCTCGTTGGTTCCCCCTATCTTTCCCCCCTACCCATAGGGTATCTCTGCTCCCATTATTGTACCTGAGGGGGCAATACTGAGCATTTTTTGAACTAACATACAGTCTTTCTTTATTTTAAAAATTGAGTATTGATAAGTACGTATAAGCATTGAATACCTGTAGGTTTTGCTTTCTAACTGCCCACCAGCAGCACCCCCAAGCAAGCCTTTAAGGGATTTATTTTTATTTATTTTATTTTATTTGCATGATAGGAGCAAACCTAACAAAGTATTGTATAGAAATGTGCTTGTAATAGTAGTGGTAGTGTTCCATTTTTTTAAAAATCATATTATTGGGGGCTCGTACAACTCTGACCACAATCCATCCATCCATTGTGTCAAGCACATTTGTACCTTTGTTGCCCTCATCCTTCCCAAAACATTTGCTTTCTACTTAAGCCCTTGGTATCAGCTCCTCATTTTTCCCCCTTCCTCCCCGCTCCCTCCTCCCTCATGAGGTCCTGAGGGATTTATCTGTCCTGGATTCCCTGTGTTTCAAGCTCTTATCTGTACCAGTGTACGTGCTCAGGTCTAGCCAGATTTATAAAGTAGAATTGGGGTCATGATAGTGGGGGGCGGGGGAAGCATTAAAGAACTAGAGGAAAGTTGTATGT